AAATAACAAGGTTAAGGAGGATGCGGTAACGCCGGGCCTGACTAGCGCAGCTGGGAGGCTAGACAAGCGAGCTTCCAAGCCCCGCATGGTGGCACTTGCACACCTCACTAACGCCAAACTGTTGTCACTTTGTGCCCACACTCGCCCAGCTTACCAAGTACGCACGCCCACGTGAAGGGCAGCGGGCGTGGGGAGGCCTGCGCCCGCCTCACAGCGCCAGGGTGGGCGTAGTAGCGAGGGGTTCGCTTTTGGGGCAGCAGCGGCGGCCGCAACCACACTGGGTCCACAGCGTGCCGGTAGCTAAGTGGGTATTTTAGTTAGTTTTTATGCACACACCGACATCCACTGCGGCTTCGTTTTCGGCAAGGCAGCATGATTGGCGCGGGCCGCGAGGGGATGCGTATATCATACCCTTTTGGTTTTAGCGAATATTGATTGTATGCAGCTTTGCATAGTACCTACGTGCGTACCTTATGTAGATGCGAAGCATGTGGGCGCGTGTACCTGTTCCATAGTTCAAAATTTGTTATCATCTCGGGTGTACGTACAACTAATCAATCCCTCTTGTCGCACTTGATTGGGTTCTGCTAATCAATACGATATCCGAGGCGGCTGTTTTTCACCCTGGTATTTATAGAGAGATCTTCCAGCCCATCCTGGAGATGTTTTTTAAGCCGTTATCCCCGCCTGCAAGACCCCTCCTGCTCTCCGCCGCACCACTTCACGCTCGCGGTTCATCAAGGCCGCGCGATTAACGCAGACATTGCAGTAGAAACTCTTCAACAACCTCTGACGAATATATAGAGCCTCCGCAACAACCTCATCTGCCGGCAAGTGGCCATAAATTATATTAAAACCTAATCATTTCGGTATTTATTACGAGCTCCGAGGCCCCGTCTTGGCAGGCTTTGATATCGATAGTACCGAGACGAGGTTGCAAGGCGCTTCGTTGCAGTGAGAGGGAGCGTGCGGTACTTCTCCAACTTCACACGATCTCGGAGGCTAAGGAAGACCCAGGGTGAGGCGCCCCCCTCCCCCCTCCCCCCCCTCTCTGTGGACCCCAACCCACAACCCTTTCTCTTCCCACCCCCATAAACCCCTCCTCTCCCCACCCATAACCCCCTTTTTTCCCCCAATACCACTACCCCTCTCCTCCTCCCCACCTCCCTTCTTTTCCCCGAGACCACGGTGTGCTGTCTCCCCCCCCCTCCCCCTGGGTATAGCACGCCATCACGCTGTCACCCTTGAGGATTTGTCCGGGAGAAATGCTCATGAAATATTACCAGCAAAAGAAATAAAAAAAAGGCAAAGGGAAAATGACGGTGAAGATGACAATAAGAAGAACCGTAGCAATAATGGCAATAATAACAATAATGATAATGAAAATGATGATTTACATCCTGTGTTGTCTTCTGCTCCTGTTGTCACTCAAGGCGAACTTCGACACACACACACACACACACACACACACACACACACACACACACACACACACACACACACACACACACACACACACACACACATACATACATACATACATCTTACGTAATGGAAATATCTTGCTTCTGGTGCCATAATTGTGGGGTGGGCGTTCGTGTATTTTATTTGTCTTCGCTGAAAATGTTTAGTATGTTTAAAATTCGCACGTGCAATTTGATCCTTGAATTAAAATCTCTCTTGTAATTTCATGTAAAATATGAACAAGGAAGAAACTATTTATTTATTTATTCTTTCTCTCTTCTCTCTCTCTCTCTCTCTCTCTCTCTCTCTCTCTCTCTCTCTCTCTCTCTCTCTCTCTCTCTCTCTCTCTCTCTTTCTCTCTCTCTCTCTCCCTCTCTCCCTCTCTCCCTCTCTCTCCCTCTCTCTCTCCCTCTCTCTCTCCCTCTCTCTCTCTCTCTCTCTCTCTCTCTCTCTCTCTCTCTCTCTCTCTCTCTCTCTCTCTCTCTCTCTCTCTCTCTCTCTCTCTCTCTCTCTCTCCATCGCTCCCTATTTCCGACGCGGCAAATGACATTGTACATGAGCTACTTCCCAAGCTGACATTATGTTACACTTCTATTAAACCATAGCATTATTCTTTCACACTAAACCACGGCAATCACGGGATTTCCTTTGAATGCTGTCAGGAATAAATTTGAGAGAGATTGATCATGTTAAAAATGTATGTTGCATTTTTGGTCATTTTCATTTCGGCTTTTTTTGAGTGCCAGCTCTATTGACGGATCGTAATACCGTGGTATTTTTTTTTTTTTTTTTTTTTTTTTTGTCGAATTTCAAAGTGGAAATGACTATGCGATTTATAGAACATTTATGCATCTCCTTTTTCTGTACGTTCTTTGTGTCTGTATGTCTGCGTCCGTGTTGATACATACATACAAACATGCATACATTTATATATGTATGATATATGGTAGAAAAAAAACCCTAATGCAAAAACTAGACTTATTGAAAATGAGACTATAGTTTCGGTCTGACCTGAAGATGGAATCCGGGTGTATTT